TCTCCCACCTCCCATCTCACTCTACTCCCCTCCACGCACTCTCCCACCTCCCATCTCATTCTACTCCCATCCACGCACTCTCCTGCCTCTCCCCTATCATCTCACTCGACTCCTCTCACTCTCCTCCAGGAACCAAGGCTTTCTGCGGAAGCCCGCAGTCAACTTTCGCTCTGCGGGAGGTCCCTTGTTCTCCTCTGCTGCTCCGCAGTTCAGAACTCTTCCCACCGCCGCCCGCGCTGTCGACTCCGAGCCCCTGTTCAAGTCGAGGCCCAATACCTCCCACCTGTGCCATCCCTATGTTGTTGTTTATTCGGGTGCCACCCAACGTGCACATAGGAAAGTGAAGTTTCGCTTGTGTTGGATCACACCCTCCTCTCAATTTGTTTTCTGTCGGTGTAAACGTGAACAGCAGAAACATCAACGTGTATGCCGTTCATATTCACAAGTTGCTCAGAACCTCATTCTCTTCCTCCTCCTGCTCTCCATCCGTGTCTGCCCTTATACTACGACTCTGTGTGCATTGGCTGTAAACGAAATGTCTCCGCTGCGTTGAGCGACCGAGTAAATATCGAGCGATTCTCGGTCAACTCCCAGTGGCTTCATTTTGAACAGGCAAACGAATAAAGACACGCAGGGAGGTGTGTGATCTTGAAAATAACAAACTTGAATTCTGAGTGCTACCCTCGACGTTAAGTCTCTTCCATATCTATCTCTCTCCCCACTCCCCTCGTGTCCCACAGCTGAGTATTACAGCGCCTTCAAGATGCATTTGCATTTAGAGGATATTTAAATCCAATTGTCACTGTATTATTAAAACCACAGCCTATTGCATTATGTACATCGTATTGTATTATTTACACTAAACCATTAATAGGATATAAACGCGTTCATTATTTTTTAACAGCCCAGTCTAGACTTTCGCGTGAACTTATTAAGAACGTTTATATATTTAAAAAAAAATTGTACATCGACATTGCGAACGTCATCGAAGGGTTGGTCTACATCGTGCAACGATGCCTCGGGTAATCGATTATGATCGATTATTACACCCACGAATTTCACGCACCGTGGTCGCGGACGGTGAGTATGTGCGCGTGACTGTGCGTGACTGTGTGTGACTGTGTGTGAGTGACTGTGTGTGACTGTGTGTGACTGTGTGCGCATGACTGTGTGTGACTGTTTGTGAGTGACTGTGTGTGACTGTGTGTGAGTGACTGTGTGTGACTGTGTGTGAGTGACTGTGTGTGACTGTGTGTGAGTGACTGTGTGTGACTGTGTGTGAGTGACTGTGTGTGACTGTGTGTGAGTGACTGTGTGTGACTGTGTGTGAGTGACTGTGTGTGACTGTGTGTGACTGTGTGCGCGTGACTGTGTGTGACTGTTTGTGAGTGACTGTGTGTGAGTGACTGTGTGTGACTGTGTGTGAGTGACTGTGTGTGAGTGACTGTGTGTGACTGTGTGTGAGTGACTGTGTGTGACTGTGTGTGAGTGACTGTATGTGACTGTGTGTGAGTGACTGTGTGTGACTGTGTGTGAGTGACTGTGTGTGACTGTGTGTGTGTGACTGTGTGTGACTGTGTGAGTGACTGTGTGTGACTATGTGTGTGAGTGACTGTGTGTGACTGTGTGTGAGTGACTGTGTGTGACTGTGTGTGACTGTGTGCGCGTGACTGTGTGTGACTGTTTGTGAGTGACTGTGTGTGAGTGACTGTGTGTGACTGTGTGTGACTGTGTGTGACTGTGTGCGAGTGACTGTGTGTGACTGTGTGTGACTGTGTGCGCGTGACTGTGTGTGACTGTGTGTGAGTGACTGTGTGTGAGTGACTGTGTGTGAGTGACTGTGTGTGACTGTGTGTGTGACTGTGTGTGACTGTGTGTGACTGTGTGAGTGACTGTGTGTGACTGTGTGTGAGTGACTGTGTGTGACTGTGTGTGAGCGACTGTGTGTGACTGTGTGTGTGTGACTGTGTGTGACTGTGTGTGAGTGACTGTGTGTGACTGTGTGTGACTGTGTGAGTGACTGTGTGTGACTGTTTGCGCGTGACTGTGTGTGAGTGACTGTGTGTGAGTGACTGTGTGTGACTGTGTGTGAGTGACTGTGTGCGCGTGACTGTGTGTGAGTGACTGTGTGCGCGTGACTGTGTGTGAGTGACTGTGTGTGACTGTGTGTGAGTGACTGTGTGTGACTGTGTGAGTGACTGTGTGTGACTGTTTGCGCGTGACTGTGTGTGAGTGACTGTGTGTGACTGTGTGTGAGTGACTGTGTGTGAGTGACTGTGTGTGAGTGACTGTGTGTGAGTGACTGTGTGTGACTGTGTGTGAGTGACTGTGTGTGACTGTGTGTGAGTGACTGTGTGTGAGTGACTGTGTGTGACTGTGTGTGACTGTGTGCGCGTGACTGTGTGTGACTGTTTGTGAGTGACTGTGTGTGACTGTGTGTGAGTGACTGTGTGTGACTGTGTGCGCGTGACTGTGTGTGAGTGACTGTGTGCGCGTGACTGTGTGTGAGTGACTGTGTGTGAGTGACTGTGTGTGACTGTGTGTGAGTGACTGTGTGTGACTGTGTGTGAGTGACTGTGTGTGACTGTGCGCGTGACTGTGTGTGACTGTGTGTGAGTGACTGTGTGTGACTGTGTGTGAGTGACTGTGTGTGACTGTGTGTGACTGTGTGCGACTGTGTGTGACTGTGTGTGACTGTGTGAGTGACTGTGTGTGACTGTGTGCGCGTGACTGTGTGTGACTGTGTGTGACTGTGTGAGTGACTGTGTGTGACTGTGTGTGAGTGACTGTGTGTGACTGTGTGTGACTGTGTGAGTGACTGTGTGTGACTGTGTGTGAGTGACTGTGTGTGAGTGACTGTGTGTGACTGTGTGTGAGTGACTGTGTGTGACTGTGTGTGACTGTGTGTGAGTGACTGTGTGCGCGTGACTGTGTGTGACTGTGTGCGCGTGACTGTGTGTGACTGTTTGTGAGTGACTGTGTGTGACTGTGTGTGAGTGACTGTGTGTGAGTGACTGTGTGTGACTGTGTGTGACTGTGTGCGCGTGACTGTGTGTGACTGTGTGTGACTGTGTGCGCGTGACTGTGTGTGACTGTGTGTGAGTGACTGTGTGTGACTGTGTGTGAGTGACTGTGTGTGACTGTGTGTGACTGCGCGTGACTGTGTGTGACTGTGTGTGACTGTGTGAGTGACTGTGTGTGACTGTGTGCGCGTGACTGTGTGTGACTGTGTGTGACTGTGTGAGTGACTGTGTGTGACTGTGTGTGAGTGACTGTGTGTGACTGTGTGTGACTGTGTGAGTGACTGTGTGTGACTGTGTGTGAGTGACTGTGTGTGAGTGACTGTGTGTGACTGTGTGTGAGTGACTGTGTGTGACTGTGTGTGACTGTGTGTGAGTGACTGTGTGCGCGTGACTGTGTGTGACTGTGTGCGCGTGACTGTGTGTGACTGTTTGTGAGTGACTGTGTGTGACTGTGTGTGAGTGACTGTGTGTGAGTGACTGTGTGTGACTGTGTGTGACTGTGTGCGCGTCGACTGTGTGTGACTGTGTGTGAGTGACTGTGTGTGACTGTGTGTGACTGTGTGCGCGTGACTGTGTGTGACTGTGTGTGTGTGACTGTGTGTGACTGTGTGTGACTGTGTGTGACTGTGTGCGCGTGACTGTGTGTGACTGTGTGCGCGTGACTGTGTGTGACTGTGTGTGAGTGACTGTGTGTGAGTGACTGTGTGTGAGTGACTGTGTGTGACTGTGTGTGACTGTGTGCGCGTGACTGTGTGTGAGTGACTGTGTGTGAGTGACTGTGTATGACTGTGTGTGACTGTGTGTGAGTGACTGTGTGTGAGTGACTGTGTGTGAGTGACTGTGTGTGACTGTGTGCGCGTGACTGTGTGTGACTGTGTGTGTGACTGTGTGTGACTGTGTGTGACTGTGTGTGACTGTGTGCGCGTGACTGTGTGTGACTGTGTGCGCGTGACTGTGTGTGACTGTGTGTGAGTGACTGTGTGTGAGTGACTGTGTGTGAGTGACTGTGTGTGACTGTGTGCGCGTGACTGTGTGTGACTGTGTGCGCGTGACTGTGTGTGAGTGACTGTGTGTGAGTGACTGTGTGTGACTGTGTGTGACTGTGTGTGAGTGACTGTGTGTGAGTGACTGTGTGTGAGTGACTGTGTGTGACTGTGTGTGACTGTGTGCGCGTGACTGTGTGTGACTGTGTGCGCGTGACTGTGTGTGACTGTGTGTGAGTGACTGTGTGTGACTGTGTGTGAGTGACTGTGTGTGACTGTGTGTGTGTGACTGTGTGTGACTGTGTGAGTGACTGTGTGTGACTGTGTGTGAGTGACTGTGTGTGACTGTGTGAGTGACTGTGTGTGACTGTGTGTGACTGTGTGCGCGTGACTGTGTGTGACTGTTTGTGACTGTTTGTGACTCTGTGTGAGTGACTGTGTGTGACTGTGTGCGCGTGACTGTGTGTGACTGTGTGTGACTGTGTGTGAGTGACTGTGTGTGACTGTGTGTGAGTGACTGTGTGTGACTATGTGTGACTGTGTGCGCGTGACTGTGTGTGACTGTGTGTGAGTGACTGTGTGTGACTGTGTGTGACTGTGTGTGAGTGACTGTGTGTGACTGTGTGTGAGTGACTGTGTGTGAGTGACTGTGTGTGACTGTGTGTGCGTGACTGTGTGTGACTGTGTGTGAGTGACTGTGAGTGACTGTGTGTGACTGTGTGTGACTGTGTGTGACATGAACACAACACCGTTGGCAAGACACGGCGAGGAAAGAGAGCGAGAGACGCCTTAATACAGCAGCGGTTTGAACTGAAAGTGTACTGTTAGCCACTCACTTGAGGCTGTTACATTCATCGCCGAATCGATTATTTAATCGATAGACAATTATTTAAGGGGAGGAGGGGGGTGTTAAGGGGGAGGGCGGGGGGATCTTTCATTGTTCGACACCGAACTGCGTTGTACACCGATTCAGCGTCACCATCACCACACGAAGTCACCCAGCGGTCAGACATTTACCGCGGGTTCATCTCACCATCATCACCATCAACCTTGCTCGTAAACAAATAAGCCCCCCCCCCCACCACCACACAACCACACACACCCCCGACCACGAAACCCACATCGAGTCTCCTACTTCCTGCAGAACCTGCACCGGACGATCTTCTTGAAGGCGTTCTGAAAGTCCTTGTTGAAGTACGCGTAGATGATTGGGTTGAGCAGCGAGTTGGAGTAGCCGAGCCAGTTGATGACGGCGAACACGCCCGGCGGCGAGTGGCGGCACCGCTCGCCGCAGAAGGGCGAGATGAGCGCCACGATGAAGAAGGGCAGCCAGCAGAAGATGAAGGTGCCCATGATGATGCCCAGCGTCTTCACCGTCTTGCGCTCCCGCGCGAGCGCCGTCTTGCGCCTCGGGTCCGTGGCTCTCTCGCCACCGCCCCCTCCTCCTCCTCGCTCGGGGCAGTCGCCGAGCCGCGTCGCCTCCTGGTTCACGTTGTTGGGCAGCAGGTGCAGCGTGCAGTGGCCCCCGCCCGGCGCCTCCATCACCTGCACGGGCGCCTCGTCCTCGTAGTTGCGCACGGCGCCGTTGCAGCAGAAGGGCGGCCTGGACTCGGAACTGTCGCGTCTGCTGGAGTGCTGCTGCTGCTGGTGCTGCTGCTGGTGCTGCTGCTGCTTGCCGTTCATCGCTGAGCAGCCGGCACCAGCACCGTCGACACCACGAGCACCACCAGCAGCAGCAGCAGCGGCAGCGCCTTTGAGTCGCCGGTGCATCATCTCCTCGTTCAAGGCCACACCGACGTCGCAGACCCTCTTCTCGCGGTTCTTGGCGTTCTTGCGAATCCGGAATCGCGCCGCTTTGAAGATGCGGCCGTAGAGGACGAGCATGAGGATGAGCGGGATGTAGAAGGCGCCGAACGTGGAGTAGATGGTGTAGCCGTGGTCCTGGCTGATCTTGCACGCGTCCGGGTCCGCCCTGTCCGCCGGAGTCCTCCAGCCCAGCATGGGCGGGATGGAGATGGAGAAGCCCACGAGCCACGTGAGGCTGATCATGATGACGGCGCGCCGCGGCGTCCTCTTGTTCACGTAGTCGATGGGGTTGGTGATCGCCCAGTAGCGGTCGAGAGCGATGGCGCACAGGTGCAGGATGGACGAGGTGCAGCAGAGGACGTCCAGCGCGATGAAGATGTCGCACACCACCTGACCCAGCGTCCACCTGCCCAGCACCTGGTACAGCGCGGCCATGGGCAGCACCAGCACGGACACCATCAAGTCGGTGACGGCCAGAGAGCCGATCAGGTAGTTGGCCACGTTCTGCAGGGAGCGCTCCAGCACGATCGCGGCGACCACGCACGAGTTGCCGACGACGGAGAAGAGTATGAGAGCCCCCAGGCACATGGACGTGATGACTTGGTAGGAGAGGGACACCTCTGCTGCTGCCGCCGTCTCCTGGCCCTCGAGGTTTACCTGCAGAGGCGCTGACAGGTTGCAAGTGGAGTGGTGATCCATCATGGCTTGGGCTCTGTTGTTGACTGCCGCGCAGGTGGTGGTGAGATGATGATGATGATGAGCACTCGCGTCACCTCTGGTTAGCTCATGATGGTTGATTGTCTTCAGTGCTTAATGATATCTATATATCTATCTTATCTTCTGTTGCTATATTACTCTCTCTCCTTTATATATATCTCAATTATCTATCAATCTCGTGTTATCATTTGCTATATCTCTTCTCGCTCGTATCTCTCTGCACGTTCTTGTCTATCCTCTCGCTCTCTCTCTCGATCCCCCGTACGTCTTCGTCCCTAAATCTAAGACGCACTCTCTCTCTCTCCCTCTGTGATCTCAAATCTCTCGCGACTCTCTGCCTCCTGCAATCCAACTCCGCTGCCTGTTCCAAGAGCCTGGCCTGTTTGGGACGCCTCATCCATTCACTCCGAGGCGCTGTCAGCCAAGCCGCCTTAGGAAGTCTTTCCACTCCTCCTCCTCCTGCTGCTGCTGCTTGCTCCTCTTCCCCCCCCCCCTCTCCTCCTGCCCCCTCCCCCCCACCACTCTTACCGTCACCACCACCACCACCCTCACCACCATTCACCACCACCGATCACCACCAGCAGCGGCAGCAGCGCACGCGTCCAGCGCGCGCGTGAGTCGGAACGGCGGCGCGCGCTCCACATTCATATTGATACTGTGCCGCGTGTGCGTCATGCGCTTCATTATTCAGCGGTAGCTTGGGACCCAGAGTGGTAGTGATGTCGTTGTCTCTCCCTTGACCCCCCCTACCACCCCCCTTGCGATGCAAAGTCAACGGTAAAAGGGTTCGGGGGGGGGGGTGCAGAGAGGAGCCCTCTCTTCGTGATTGATCTTTGTGAATGTTTTCCCCTATGCAAGTTTTTTCCTCGCTCTCTCTCTCTCCCACACACACACAGACACACACAGACACACATCATTTCATTTGTTGAATTTATTGTTGTTGGTGTTCTCTCGTTGTTGTGCGTGATGATAGCTCACGTTACATAGGCAACCGACCCTTAGTATAGAAACATTCAAGACGAACACGCACGCCGGTAACGGCCTCTCACCTACTCAGTGAGTACACGGATGCAATGGCTATTAATTAGTGCTTTCATTTCGGCGTGAGAGCCCTGCCCATTATTCACATTGTGATAGCAAGATCATTAGGACCTCGCTTGTGCCCTCATTTCTAATTGCCTGCGTTAGCGGCACGACCTAAACTTATTCAAGTCTGCAATTGATGTATCACCACCACCAGTAGCAGCAGCAGCAGCAATAGCTGCAGCATCAGTAACCAGCAGCTAAGAACGATCCACTGCTGGATGAAGGCATCTCCACCCCAAGCAGCCGACAACTCTCACGATCCTCGCGATGCCATATTCCTCTGCCTCTCTCTCACACACACACAAGCTGACTTCATCGCTCCATCTCCTCGTAGGTGGACGTCCTCTCGGACGCGTTTCGTGTTCCTGGCGGCCACTCCGTCATGATTCCTGGCCGATGGCCACGACGCGTTCTGCCCAAGCCCCACTCATTAGCCTGCGTGTGTTCGCTAATCCACGTATTCCTCTTTCTCCCGTCTCTCAGCCTAATTCCAATTAAGTATGTTGATATACTTCAGCATGATTTACCGTAGTAGCGACGTGCTGCTCGAACATTGAACACCAATGCATGTCATACCAACGCAGACTGTGCCACAAGACAAAGACCCCCACCCACCCCAATCCCCCGTATCGCCTTAACAGACCCTTGGGGCAAGTCCTGTTGGCTATTGTCTGCGAGTAGCACCTATGAAGGCCAGCATGGGACATGAGTACTGATGTTTACACACCGCACCAGGTGCAGTTCTCCTTTGAGGCTGAGTCGACCTAGGGCAGGCCCAGAACTGGTTCAGATTTGCGTGAGTGGGTATCGAACTCGGGCTCGCTGCGTTCACCGGTACCCCACACACACAAAACAACCCCCCAAGACACGCTTCAATATGACGAACACCACGTTACACTGCGGGCTAGAGCCATGACCGGATGGAATAACGATCATTAGACGCGATATTGAAATTCTCTCCTAGTCTCGCGCCTTGCGGCGATGTATTCAGGAGCTCGACGCCAATGTCGAGCTCCTGCTGCTGCTGCTGCTGCTGGCCACGACGAAAAGGCTTCATCAGAGAGAGAGAGTTCGTGTCGTGTCCGCTGTTTCGCAGACCACAATGTGTTTCCTGTGTGATCCATAGTTTGGCTTGCATGGTCACAGTCGCACTACTGTGGCTTGTCTTTAATGCATCTCGACGTGTCTCTATGGGTCTCTATGTATCTCACTGTGTCCCTATGTATCTCTACGGGTCACTGTGTATCTCATTGTGTCCCTATGTATCTCTATGGGTCTCTATGTATCTCACTGTGTCCCTATGTATCTCTATGGGTCTCTATGTATCTCAATGTGTCCCTATGTATCTCTATGGGTCTCTATGTATCTCAATGTGTCCCTATGTATCTCTATGGGTCTCTATGTATTTCACTGTGTCCCTATGTATCTCTATGGGTCTCTATGTATCTCACTGTGTCCCTATGTATCTCTATGGGTCTCTGTGTATCTCAATGTGTCCCTATGTATCTCTATGGGTCTCTATGTATCTCAATGTGTCCCTATGTATCTCTATGGGTCTCTATGTATCTCAATGTGTCCCTATGTATCTCTATGGGTCTCTATGTATCTCAATGTGTCCCTATGTATCTCTACGGGTCTCTATGTATCTCAATGTGTCCCTATGTATCTCTATGGCTCTCTACGTATCTCTATTTTTCACGAGCTGGATGCCAATGTCGAGAGAGACTGCTGGCCACAATGAGAGGGCTTCAGCAGAGAGAGAGAGTACGTGTCGTTCTGCTGATCTCCCCTACTCAGTTGAAGGAGCGCAGACTACCACAGCGGCGTTACTGTGCGCTCCATAGTTGGGTTGCATAGCTCCAATCGCACGATTGTGTCTTATCTTTAATGCATCTCTCTCGATCGACATGTGTCTCTGTGGGTCTCTGTGTGTCTCTGTGTGTCTCTGTGGGTCTCTGTGGGTCTCTGTGTGTCTCTGTGGGTCTCTGTGTGTCTCTGTGGGTCTTGTGTGTCTCTGTGTGTCTCTGTGTGTCTCTGTGGGTCTCTGTGTGTCTCTGTGTGTCTCTGTGGGTCTCTGTGTGTCTCTGTGGGTCTCTGTGTGTCTCTGTGGGTCTCTGTGTGTCTCTGTGGGTCTCTGTGTGTCTCTGTGTGTCTCTGTGTGTCTCTGTGTGTCTCTGTGGGTCTCTGTGTGTCTCTGTGGGTCTCTGTGTGTCTCTGTGTGTCTCTGTGTGTCTCTGTGGGTCTCTGTGTGTCTCTGTGGGTCTCTGTGTGTCTCTGTGTGTCTCTGTGGGTCTCTGTGTGTCTCTGTGGGTCTCGGTGTGTCTTGTGTGTCTCTGTGGGTCTCTGTGTGTCTCTGTGGGTCTCTGTGTGTCTCTGTGGGTCTCTGTGTGTCTCTGTGGGTCTCTGTGTGTCTCTGTGGGTCTCTGTGTGTCTCTGTGGGTCTCTGTGTGTCTCTGTGGGTCTCTGTGTGTCTCTGTGGGTCTCTGTGTGTCTCTGTCTCTGTGGGTCTCTGTGGGTCTCTGTGGGTCTCTGTGGTGTCTCTGTGGGTCTCTGTGGGTCTCTGTGTGTCTCTGTGTGTCTCTGTGGGTCTCTGTGTGTCTCTGTGTGTCTCTGTGGGTCTCTGTGTGTCTCTGTGGGTCTCTGTGGGTCTCTGTGTGTCTCTGTGGGTCTCTGTGTGTCTCTGTGGGTCTCTGTGTGTCTCTGTGTGTCTCTGTGGGTCTCTGTGTGTCTCTGTGGGTCTCTGTGTGTCTCTGTGTGTCTCTGTGGGTCTCTGTGTGTCTCTGTGTGTCTCTGTGTGTCTCTGTGGGTCTCTGTGTGTCTCTGTGGGTCTCTGTGTGTCTCTGTGTGTCTCTGTGGGTCTCTGTGTGTCTCTGTGGGTCTCTGTGTGTCTCTGTGGGTCTCTGTGTGTCTCTGTGGGTCTCTGTGTGTCTCTGTGTGTCTCTGTGGGTCTCTGTGTGTCTCTGTGGGTCTCTGTGTGTCTCTGTGGGTCTCTGTGTGTCTCTGTGGGTCTCTGTGTGTCTCTGTGGGTCTATGTGTGTCTCTTGGGTCTCTGTGTGTCTCTGTGGGTCTCTGTGTGTCTCTGTGGGTCTCTGTGTGTCTCTGTGTGTCTCTGTGGGTCTCTGTGTGTCTCTGTGTGTCTCTGTGGGTCTCTGTGTGTCTCTGTGGGTCTCTGTGTGTCTCTGTGGGTCTCTGTGGGTCTCTGTGTGTCTCTGTGGGTCTCTGTGTGTCTCTGTGTGTCTCTGTGTGTCTCTGTGTGTCTCTGTGGGTCTCTGTGTGTCTCTGTGGGTCTCTGTGGGTCTCTGTGTGTCTCTGTGGGTCTCTGTGTGTCTCTGTGGGTCTCTGTGTGTCTCTGTGGGTCTCTGTGTGTCTCTGTGGGTCTCTGTGTGTCTCTGTGGGTCTCTGTGTGTCTCTGTGGGTCTCTGTGGGTCTCTGTGTGTCTCTGTGGGTCTCTGTGTGTCTCTGTGTGTCTCTGTGTGTCTCTGTGTGTCTCTGTGGGTCTCTGTGTGTCTCTGTGTGTCTCTGTGTGTCTCTGTGGGTCTCTGTGTGTCTCTGTGGGTCTCTGTGTGTCTCTGTGGGTCTCTGTGGGTCTCTGTGTGTCTCTGTGGGTCTCTGTGTGTCTCTGTGGGTCTCTGTGTGTCTCTGTGGGTCTCTGTGTGTCTCTGTGTGTCTCTGTGGGTCTCTGTGTGTCTCTGTGGGTCTCTGTGTGTCTCTGTGGGTCTCTGTGTGTCTCTGTGGGTCTCTGTGTGTCTCTGTGGGTCTCTGTGTGTCTCTGTGGGTCTCTGTGTGTCTCTGTGGGTCTCTGTGTGTCTCTGTGGGTCTCTGTGTGTCTCTGTGGGTCTCTGTGTGTCTCTGTGGGTCTCTGTGTGTCTCTGTGGGTCTCTGTGTGTCTCTGTGTGTCTCTGTGGGTCTCTGTGTGTCTCTGTGGGTCTCTGTGTGTCTCTGTGGGTCTCTGTGTGTCTCTGTGGGTCTCTGTGTGTCTCTGTGGGTCTCTGTGTGTCTCTGTGGGTCTCTGTGTGTCTCTGTGGGTCTCTGTGTGTCTCTGTGTGTCTCTGTGTGTCTCTGTGGTCTCTGTGTGTCTCTGTGTGTCTCTGTGGGTCTCTGTGTGTCTCTGTGGGTCTCTGTGTGTCTCTGTGGGTCTCTGTGGGTCTCTGTGTGTCTCTGTGGGTCTCTGTGTGTCTCTGTGTGTCTCTGTGTGTCTCTGTGGGTCTCTGTGTGTCTCTGTGTGTCTCTGTGGGTCTCTGTGTGTCTCTGTGGGTCTCTGTGGGTCTCTGTGTGTCTCTGTGGGTCTCTGTGTGTCTCTGTGGGTCTCTGTGTGTCTCTGTGGGTCTCTGTGTGT